ATATATATATATATATATATATATATATATATATATATATATATATATATATATATATATATATATATATATATATATATATATATATATATATATATATATATATATATATATATATATATATATATATATATATATATATATATATATATATATATATATATATATATATATATATATATATATATATATATATATATATATATATATATATATATATATATATATATATATATATATATATATATATATATATATATATATATATATATATATATATATATATATATATATATATATATATATATATATATATATATATATATATATATATATATATATATATATATATATATATATACTGTAATTTATTAATATACACTCATCGGCCACTTTATTAGGTACACCAATTTTGACCTCCATTTGCATTTAGAACTTCCTTAATCCTTCATGGCATAGATTCAGCAATGTACTGGAAATATTCCTCAGAGATTTTGCTCCATATTGACATGATAGCATCACACAGTTGCTGCAGATTTGTCGGCTGCACATCCATGATGCCAATCTCCCGTTCCACCACATCCCAAAGCTGCTCTATTGGATTGAAAAAAGGAGGAGATGGGGTGGAAAAGGGGCTTTTTCCAAAACGAAGATAGAGCAGTAGGGAGAAAACTATCCATTTATAGTAAGCTTGGATCACTCTGATTGGATTTTTACTGATCACAGATGAGAAGCCAGTCGTGCTCAGTCATATCACCTGCTACTATCAAAATTAAGTTATGAAACTCTAGTCCAATTATTAAATAAATTCTTAAATCAAGAAGCATTTTCCAGACAAGCAAGAAATTGTCTTGTTTTAAGAAACAATATCCCAAAACAATCTATTTTTTCCATTTGACATACTTTTACTTTCCAGATTATTTTGGTTGTTTAAAGGAAAAACTCACTTCATTTTAATGTATTACTTCTTAAAACAAGACAATATGTTTTGCTTGTCTAGAAAATGCTTCTTGATTTAAGAATTAGTAGATATTTGGACTAAAAATGAGACAAAAACTCTGCAAGAACCACATTTTTTGCAGTGTAAAACTGTGTGAAAATGTCATGTTAAATGTGTAAAAGTGTAATATTAAATTCAAAGCTCATTTTTTCATGTCCAAAAAACATTATTTCATGCATCTATTTAATTTATAATAAACAGATATGCTGATACATCACTGTACATTTTTTTTCTGATGTGTTTCTCAGCAGTGAAGTCATCATAGTTGTTAAACTCAGAGCGCAGTGAACAGAAGAGCACAACAAATCATTACTTTACAATCCTATTTGCTCAAATAATAAGAGAAAAACTCCAGGACAGTGTTATCAAGACTTACAGAAGAGGAAAACAACAGTGTGAGACTGATAACGGCAGCCAGAAGAGAGAATAATGTCAGATTTACTGTCCTGCCCTCATACACACTGCACTACACACACCTCACACAAGCGTTCAGTCCTTTTTTTTCGGTGCAAAGATGATATAATACATACTTAAATATATATTAAATATATATTTAAATATATATTAAATTAAATCTATACATTAAAAACTTTGGGTTTAAGATGCTGATGAACCTTAAACGTGTCTTGTGAAATGAGTCCATTGCACCAAACAGAAGTGCATAAATGATGTCTACTTTCCAATGCACTGTCATCTCCCAGTTCAGACAAAGAGATTTCTCGCACTTTGATGCATGTGATTGGCTGATTAGAAATTTGCGTTAACAAGTAGGTGGACAGGTGTACCTAATAAACTGGCCAGTGGGTGTATATACGTGGCTAGAAACACTGTACATTTTTTTCTAAAGTGTCCGGAGCCTTTTCACAATTGCATGTTTCTCAGCAGCAGAATTCATCACAGTTGGTTAACAGAGAGCGCAGTGAACGGGAGAGCACAACAAATCATTATTTTACAATCCTATTTGCTCAAATAATAGGAGAAAAACTCCAGGACGGTGATATCAAGACTTCCAAAAGAGGAAAACAACAGTGTGAGACTGATAATATAGATTTACTCTCCTGCCCCCATACACACTGCACTACACACACCTCACACAAGCGCTCAATCCTTTTTTTTCCGGTGCAAAGACGATATAATACATATTTAAATACATATAAATGTTCATACATTAAAAAAATCTATACATTAATAACTTTAAAGGGTTTTAGATGCTGATGTGTCTTGTGAAATGAGTCCATTGCACCAAACAGTGCATAAATAAAGCATACTTTCCGATGCCATCTCCAAGTTCAGACAAAGAGATTTCTCGCACTTTTATCCTGACTCTGTGATCTGTGCCTCCTCAGGGAGATCCAGGACCGCCTGGAATTCCTGGACTGGATGGAAGAGAGGGACATCCTGTGAGTATATCTTAAAAAAACGGCTAAGATCATTGCCAGGTGTTTTAGTGGGTGGACTGCAGTTGAATAACACCAGACAGCGTTGAAGAAAACTGACCCCCTCCCCTCCTTTTCACTGCGTCTAATACAATGTTCCAGTTTGGCCGACTGAACTGACATGATTTGAAGTCTTATTGGTGCTTAAGTCTTTGCACCTGGACTGGGCAGTGGAGATTTGAGCGTATAGCCTGAGGAGAAGTGACTCAGCAGTGCAGTTGAGCAATCTAGAGCTGCCAGGTGAAGATCATCTTTAGAGAAATAGGCCTGCGAGTGATAGTTTCATGCCTCTTCTGGGAGAACGTCTCAAATATGAAGCCTGCTAATGCTGTAAGTGGAGCCAGATAGTCTTAGGACAAGCAACAAACTTAATGTATACAAGTTAGACGCAATATATCGTAAAAGTATCGTTATCGCGATAATATATGTGCAATTTACAGTGTAAGTCTAAATTATTCGCCCTCCTGTATATATTTTTTCCTCAATTTTTGTTTAACGGGGAGCAGATTTTGTCAACACATTTCTAATCACAATAGTTTTAATAACTCATCTAATAGCTGATTTCTTTTCTCTTTGCCATGATGACAGCACATAATATTAGACTAGATATTCTTCAAGACACTAGTGTTCAGTTTAATGTGACATTTAAAGGCTTCACTGGGGTAATTAGGGTTAAGTTAGGGTAATTAGGCAAGTTATTGTATAACAGTGGTTTGTTCTGGAGACAATCCAACACTAATATTGCTGAAGGGGGCTAATACTATTGACCTTAAAATGGCTTTAAAGCAATTAAAAACTGCTTTTATTCCAGCCGAAATTAAACAAATAAGACTTTCTCCAGAAGAACAAATATTAGAGGAAATACTGTGAACAATTCCCGAATCTGTTTACAATAATTAGGGAAATGTTGAAAAATATTCACAGGAGGGCGATTCATTCATACAACTGTATGTATTGCAGATGTGTGCGATTAATTTATTTTATGCATTAGTTTATCTAAATTTGACCAATAAGATAGGGCTTTACTATCTTTGGCCCCGCCTCCCCAGTAATTGCTGTTCAGCTATTGGTTGGAGCGGCCCCAAGCTGAACCCAGAGCTAAAAATAAACACTAATGGCGGGACAATGACAACAGTCAATCAGAGCCTGAATATCTGCTGATGTTTTCACTCATACAGTATTTTGAAGACTAAATGTTTGCACGTCTTCTACTGTTTTTTTTTTTTTTGACAGAATTAATTAGGTCTGAAAAAGGCGAGGCAGTGGCACAGTAGGTAGTGCTGTCGCCTCACAGCAAGAAGGTTCCTAGGTCGCTGGTTCGAACCTCGGCTCAGTTGGCGTTTCTGTGTGGAGTTTGCATGTTCTCCTTGCCTTCGTGTGGGTTTCCCCCACAGTCCAAAGACATGCTGCAGGTGAATTGGGTAGGCTAAATTGTCCGTAGTGTATGAGTGTGTGTGTGGATGTTTCCCAGAGATGGGTTGCGGCTGGAAGGGCATCCGCTGTGTAAAAACTAGCTGTTTTGTAAAGTTGGCGGTTCATTCCACTGTTGTGACCCCGGATTAATAAAGGGACTAAGCCGACAAGAAGAAAGAAATAGGTCTGAAAAATATCTCATAGTCTTTTGTTTTAATATCATTCAATAAATAAATTGTTTAAAAACATAGCTAATAAAAATAGCATTTATATCGTAAGAGATACTGTTATAGCAGTACTCACCAACAATATCCAATATCCAATCATTTTCCAGTGTCGTGCAGCCATGACACAAATGCATTGTCTTCGATTTTAGATCTGCTTCAGAACTCAGATTTTTACATTGGAAATCAACAAGCGGTGATCAACACAATGCAAAACCTGATTATAAAACAGAAATGTCTGTTAAAAGATATTGCATGCAAAATTAATCGTCATTATTTACTCGCTCTGTTTAAGGTTTTTGTTAAACCAATTTGTCTACTGTTCAAATTGACTACCCTTTTATTACGTTGGCAGTTTTTGCCCCTTTGACCTCTACTTCAAGCACATTTTTTGATTGCAAAGCCATGATACCAAATAGTCATGCATTCAAACAATCTGCCAATGGGGTAAGCAAAATTATCTTATTTCAAAGCAAAATATTGCACTTAATATGGTTGTTTTTGCAGTGTTCAATAAAATAACATTACAAAGTTCAATAAAGTCATTTATTGGCCTGCTCTGCATAGAAAACTGGTCATGCAATGTAATGCACAAGTTAGTTTTCACTCTGCACTATGTCTTTTTCAGTGACTTGACAATTTATGTCCTCAAAGCAATGGAAGGTACTTTCTGCAACAAGTTTCCATGTTCTCTTTAATGGTCCCTGTAGAACAAACTCAGACCAAACATCTGCTTCCGCTTATCGTGGAAAATGCACCATGGCTTTGTTGGATATGCTAAAATTGTAAAACATTGTTTGTTTTGCTGTTCATTCATAAACCACAGGACCAGCTATTTTCATATTCAACCTCTCGAGAGACCATTTAAAGTATTACTAACACTAGTCTGTGAAGAGTAAATCAATATAGTGAAGTGTCCACAAAAAGCATGTCAGCTCGCTAATTACACTGCAAAAAAAAAAAAAAAACGCTTGTCTTGCTTCTAGTCTAAATATCTAGCAATGCTGAAACTAAGAATCATTTTATAGACATGCAAAATATCTTGTCTTGTTTTAGAAAATAATAAGTCAAAATAAAGTGAGTTTTTCTCTTAAAAAAGCAATATAATCATGTTTTTCCTTTTGACATAATATCATTTTTCTTACCCCATTTTGAAATTTAGAAAATGTACTCACTATTTATTCATGCTCATGTGGTTTCAAACCTTTCCAAATTAAAAGAAGATATTCTGAAAAAGACGAAAACAGATAACCCTTGACTACCATAGTATGAGAAACAGATAGTGGGCTCTATTTTATCAATAACAAAAGCATTAGGAGCATGTCTGAATCCACTTTTGCTATTTTAAGGATGGAAAAATACGCTATGTGCCCCGGCGCGTGGTCTAACAGGGCTGTGCTTTTTCTCCTAATGAGTTCTGGTTGTGTTTTGAGCATAACCTGCATTAAACCAATCAGAGTCTCGTCTCTTATTCCCTTTAAGAGTCAGTTGCGTCACTCCATGGTGCATTTGCTATTTACATGGCGGACTTTGTAAGAGTAAAAACTGAACGCTTTACTGGGGAGAAAACAGTAAAAAAGAGCATCTGCAGTGCGAGAATAAAGAACGAGCCTCCTCCATTCAGCCCCTTTACTTTCTCTTTACTTTAGTTTTACTCTTTACTCCTTTACTTTGGTGGAGAGAGGCCCACTATGTCACGATTACCATTGTACTTCATAGATCGCTAGATCTCACACACAAACACTAATGGACTACAAATCCGCCATCGTTGGACTCCATTTTCATACATGCACTTCGCTCACACACACACACACACACACACACGCGCTTCCTCATTCTGACTGATTACACTCGCACCACCTGAGCATTGTCAAAGACTAATTACACACTATTTAAGCAGCACACACACTCACTTCCATGGCCGAGTCTTGTTTACTGTTAGTGATAATTCAACATGGCTTCTTAGTCTTGTTCTTCCGTGCGTTTACCTTAGCCTTGTTCCTAGTTATCCCTGTCTGTTGCCTGCCTTCCGACCTCTCGCCTGTTATAGTGACTACTGGATTCGCCTTTATACATGGGTGATGGGATGGGTTGCACCTGGAAGGGCATCCGCTGCGTAAAACATATGCTGGATAATTTGGCGGTTCATTCCGCTGTGGCAACCCCAGATTAATAAAGGGACTAGGCTGAAAAGAAAATGAATGAATGAATGAATGTAAGCCACTTAACTGTAGCGTGTGTTATATTTTCCCCTGTGTTCAGGTCCTGTTCAAAAAACGCCTGCCAATAACATTTCACAGCATCAACATTTGCACATTCAAACATTATACTTGGCAAAAGTTGCTTAAAACATTTTATACATTGACTTTTCTTTCACTTCAGTAAGACGATGTTCAGACCGTTGAAGTCCAGACAGCTGTTTCTCAGGTTAGACCTACAGCGCTGATATACGAGATGCACATAATCACAACAGTGCAACTTTTAAAAGGGTTGAGGGGAAAAGTCATGCACACACACACACACACACACACACACATGAATCATGGAAACAGTTCCTCTGTGTCGGCAGAAGAGTCTGATGCCCGGCCCTGTACTTGTAATAGCATGGCCTTTTGCTTAGCTCCTGTATTTGGATTGGTGTTTGATATTCGTGTTCCCCTGCACGATAACACCATATGTGTTTTATATAGTACTATTACACGCTGTCTGGAATACTTGACTCTGATTGGTTTCATTGCGGCATTCCAAGGTAGGGCGAAGCAGTGGCGCAGTAGGTAGTGCTGTCGCCTCACAGCAAGAAGGTCGCTGGTTCGAGCCTCGGCTCAGTTGGCGTTTCTGTGTGGAGTTTGCATGTTCTCCCTGCATTCGCGTGGGTTTCCTCCGGGTGCTCCGGTTTCCCCCACAGTCCAAAGACATGTGGTACAGGTGAATTGGGTAGGCTAAATTTTCCGTAGTGTATGAGTGTGTGTGTGAATGTGTGTGTGGATGTTTCCCAGAGATGGGTTGCGGCTGGCATCCACTGCGTAAAAACTTGCTGGATAAGCTGGCGGTTCATTCCGCTGTGGCGACCCCGGATTAATAAAGGGACTAAGCCGACAAGAAAATGAATGAATGAATGAATTTCAAGGTATGTTATTCCCAGATAACAACCGCTGAAATGATAGCACAGGCTCATCTGGGTACATTTGCTCATAACTTCATTTAATATGTTTGAAACACATCCTTTCGTGGGATGATTCAGTAGTCATTTGATTTATGAGTCATGTTAAATGAAGTTTTGTAGATATGGCATTGATTTGAATAATTTATTGACTGCTGACAAATATATCTTTGCTTGCACTGCCCTGAGCATTTTTAAAGACGTCTTGCTGATTGCAGTGTTTTACATAAATAGAGCTGCTGGAAAACGTTGAAGCGAGGAAATGTTTTCTGCAGATTGGCGCACATACATCATAAAAAGGAAGCATTCAGAGAGGAAATGCACGACCACAGAGATGCTTTAAAATGAAAAAAATGACAAATCTTGGCACGTCTTGGCATGTTCTGCTGTTAATCTTAACTTTCCAAAGAGCTAAAATGCTACGCTTTCTAAAAGCAGCAAACAGAGGCATCAATCTTTCCATGTATTGTTCCGCATGTTTGAATGCAGTTTGATATACGGTTTTTACTGTTTCATAATCATTGAGACTTGGCGGGATAAATGTAAAACAAGCCAATCAGGGTGTGTCTCTGTAATATAAAATAGTTTTTTGCGTGTTGGAAAATGATGTGGGAGTTAATGATGTGTCTGACGGTGCATGCTTGCTTGTGAAGTTCCCTTACCTGTGTAAAAAGCGGGGGCTCGTCCGGGATAGCAGTTTTTTTTTATTACAACTACTTTTTCTTTCTGATAGAGTAACTGATCTGATAGATCGCTTGCACTTTAGCATGGCATTTAAAGCATACCGTTATTGCATGAGTCTGTGGGATACAAATGATGTGATATTTGATTGCTATAGTATCTTAAAGCAGAAGAGGGTTTGCAAGACAATGAAGGAGGGGGGGTCGCCTTGTGATTTCCAAAAATGTATTAATTTTTTTAAACCATAAAAATGAACATATTTTATCCATAACCTACTCAAGAGAACAAAGAGTCGTTTATAGTTACTATATAATTTATACTGTAGTTACTAGTTCTGTTGGATTGTGACCCCTGGGGTAATTACATTTTAGTAAAGACAGCAAGAGTGTCAGATGCAGCAGATTGATTTTATAACACCAGGTTCAACTTACTGGCACATTTACAGCCCTCACATACATGAAAAAATTTAAACGAGGAATAGACTTGGGTCTATTGGTGTGTGTGTGTGTGTGTGCCATTGCATGCTGTCACGACTTTGTATCACAAAACCAAGGGAAAGATCCAAGTGCAGCAAAACACAATTATTGCCAAACAATAAAGATCCAAAAAAAAAAAATGACAAAGGGACAGGCAAGGTGCCAAAATCTACGAAAACATGAAGTGCAAAAATGAATCAAACACAAACTAAACAGGTATCTAAAAACATAGTAATGATACTAAACAAAGTGAACAAACAAACAAACCAAACACGATAAACCAGATCACGAATAAAGCACGACAGACCTAAACAGAACATTGAAAATATGAAGGCAAACTAAACACAACATAACAGGGCTTATAAAGACAGAACTAATTAGACAATGAGGGACAGCTGGAAACAAGGAGTGATCACATGACTAGGATACAAAACACAAAAACCAAAACAAAAACTGGTGCCCTTGAAAACCAGCAGAGGGCACTGCAGCAGGTGTGACACATGCAAGGTTTCTGCATTTATAACCACCTCAGAGGATATTAGGGGTGACAAGTCACTGGCATTATCATTTTGGGGGTCGCAGGCAAAAAAGGTTAGGAACCCCTGTCTTAGAGTGCATGATTGTCACTCAACTGTGTAAAAAAACGGGGGCTCGTCCGGGATGGCATTGTATACATTTTTTTCTGATAGTCACTTGCACTTTAGGACATGCATACAAGCTAATCGGACAAACCGGTTGTGGCAGGAAAGCCCTCCACACCGAGGTAAGCGGTCAGCTGGTTAGCGCGAAAGGAAACGCCGTCATACCGCCCCGTAGTGTTCGCTTAAAAAAATTAAATGCAGCCATATGTACCTCCGGCTACACAATTCACGGTCTCCAGAAACGTCCGTGGAACTACGTTTTCAAAATGAGCCTGGGATTTAAAATGTAAGTCATTTGTGGATAAGTGCTTACTGGGGACGTGAATCATTTAAAAAAATTCTGTTTGATTTGGTGGACTGGTTCAATCAGTACACTTAGAAGATCCAGTTAAAAAGAACCTTTTGTTCGCAAATCAGCCTTCGCTAGCCTAGTAGGAAAAACAAATTAATTGATATTAAAAGTTGCCATTCATTCATTCATACATGTTCTTGTCAACTTAGTCCCTTTATTATTCCGGG